TCGGTTTGCGTACCGACGCACCGACCCAAGTAAGTCATAGGTATCGCCCGCTCCACAGCACTCGACTGACGCCGCGCGCGGACCGCCACAGACGAATGCACTACGGGTGCATTCATGTTGCAATATTTACCATTACTGATTAACAAAAATGTATCGACACTTTGACAAACAATATTGAATTTCAAGAATAATATTTTTGAATATATTACTTAAATCTAATAACTAGTTTTATTTACATAATTATAACTCACAAAAATAGTTTACATATAATGACAGTTAGTAATTGGTAACAATGATACTTTGGGATTGGTCTGGATCAATTTATTGTTGTTAAATGCCTAACATCTTGCTCGTTGATCATCAGATTACTGAATTTTACATAACTATTGTCAGTATTAATATTAACGAAATACAATTTGTACTGCAATTTAAAATCAAAAATAAGTTCTAATCATTAATACTGAAAAGTAAATTTCGATTGAATAATGAATAGCAAAGTGTTTCCAATGAGTGCGAGAATTGAATCACAATTAGATTTAATTGTCGATAAACTCAATCATTTTAAAACTGACCGAAGAGGTGATCAACTGAGAGATGAGCTACAAATCAATGGTATTATTAAGTGTTTATAAATTATAATGAAATTAATTTTGTAATAATATTTATTTATTAGATAACTATTTGGTTTTAACAGAAAGTGTTTACGCAGAAGATATTACCACGACTTCTGGAACTGATGCCTAACGCCAGCGCTATAATAGTGTTACAAAACATATTATTCAGTGAAGTGGTGGGAAATAAGTCAAAACTGGTTGAATCAGCTCTAATGGCAGAATTGATTCCCAAATTATCGGCTATTTATAAGGAAAGCGATGATTTAAAGACACGACAACTAATGCTTAACATTTATTATGTCTTGTGTTTGGCCTTTAAAGCCAAACAAAGCTTAAGAATTTTGGGATTAAGTGATCCACTAATTATCAATTCTGTATTGAGGTATGCGTTTCATGAGTGCACTTATTATACAGTATTTAATTGATAGATAATAGAGATAATTATAAATAAAAATTGAAATATTTTTTGTTTTAATTTTAATAATAAAGTAAGTTTATAATTATAATTATAGTCCACTAACACAGACGGATGTTGATAATGTCCTCATTCAAGACTCACTTCAGTTGATTCAATGTCTGGTCTATAGTTCACCACACTTTGAGACCACAATCCAAGTATTTCCTCTCTTACGGCAATTAATACAAGACAAACAGACAGACCCTGAAGTGATCAGCGAGTCTTTGTGGACAGTCTTCGTATGCAACGAACGATTCTCAAAATGGCGACAATTGATGGTCACATCTAAAGTCTTAAAACATATAATTCAACACTGGATTGACTTCAAAAACAGCGACGCTATAGTAAAGCCAGCGTTTGGTATAATCGCTGGTCTTATGGCCCGACACCCAAACTACAAGAAGCATCTGTTGGCCGCTAACAATGAGCTTCTTAGCGGTCTCTCGATTCTGGCCAATCATAACGATCTGAACAAGTTTTACGCCATGTCTGTCATTCAGTTGGCGTCTATGAGAGCCATTGAAAACAGATTCCAAGACGTCGTTCAACACATCCAGCAATTAATTGATGGCAAAGCCATTGAAATGTGTGTTCAATCGCTTCAAACCGAAAGCTCAATGAAAGTAAAGAAAAGTGCATTGAATGCCATTATTGTTGCCATATATAAAGCCAGTGACGATCAACGGGATTCAATTGGCCGGGGTTTGTGCCCAAGAGTACCTAGATGTTTTTATTAATTTATATTTATTCCATGTCTAATGCTAGCCATCAACATGGTCCATTGCAAACACGGACTAAAGCTATGCCGGGACTGTTTAATTGGTGCCTTCATAGCCCTCTATAACAAAGATACAGATAATGGTCAGACATGTGGTGAAAGCCGAGTCGGAAGGGAACCAATGATATTGCGGGATAATAAATATCCCACCTATGTGAATATTAAATTAAACCAACATGATCTTTAGTACTTAACTTTTGTTTTTGTCCAATTAATTGTTTAGTATTATGAGTTGGAAAAACAAATGGATCAGTTGTTTATATATACCCAGAGCACTGATTGGTGGCCAATCTCTGTGGGCAACACAATTATTACCATCGTCTTATATTTGTTGTTGTAATAGTTTGTTTTAATTCTATTACGCTTTTATACTAATAAAGTGAACGATTCTGAATTAATTTAAAATGCTTGGTTTAATTATTCACAAGTTATCCTAATATTAATATTTTATAAATTAAGATTTTATTATTAATAAAAATAATACATTACAAAAAATATTAGTGTTATATTCATGAAGGCATTAACAAAAGCCCTGTTACCCGCATTGTTTATCCTGATCACTTGAATCACATCCATGCGGTCTGCTTTCAAATAAACCTCAAACTCAAATCTCTGTCCATTTAATTGACCACAATTTGTAAACAAATAATTGACAACAGTTACCGTTTCATTTGTTTTGTTAGCTATTATTGATCTAGTTATGTTGGTAGTAGCAACAGGGTAAGCCGTTCTCACTGGCCAACACCCATTATTGCCATTAGTCGTCTTTATCCCATAATTGGCGGTCAATTTGGACAGAAAATCACTTTCCATATAATAATTGTTGGTAAAAGTCACCAAAACTGTTGTGTCGTTAACGCTGTCGAGTCCTATGGGACCAAAACGGCTGGCGTTCAGCCCTTTTAAGTCAATACCAACGCAAAGAGCTCTCCCGGACACTACATCTGGCGTGTAGTGCATGTCTGTCACCGCCGGATACGCCACCCGAACAGCAGATAACTCTTTACCAATTTGTTTATATAGTTCTTCGGGCGGATTCAATACCGATTGGTTCCAGTGTTGGGCCAATAGATATGCGTCAATATCTGTCCATTTTGTTGCTGTTGTTGCGAGTGATTGGTTTAGTTGGGAAATAATGATCATTATTGTCAGCGCAACACTATTTGTATAAAAATTCATTTTGAATACAATATGTAAGTAATCTTTAAACACTTCATTTGTCTTTGTTTTATACTAATGAAAGTTTTTTTGAAGCATCTGTTTATATACAGTACAATGGATTTATCTTAATTATTATCAATTAATATTTTAATTACACAATTGTATTGTAATAAACAATTATTAATTAATATCTACCCATGATACCATTGCATATGAGCATGATAAAAAATATAGGAAATCAACAAAACCAATATTTTTAATGCAATTTTAATATCTTTTTATTTCAATTTTAATTATAATTATTATGTAATTAAATGTATAAATGACATAATCTTAAATCATTTATTTATTCGAGGAGCACAGGGTCCATTTTGCCGCCCACTCGATCTACTTTGGCCTCGATTCGGAACATCCAGGTTTGTTTGTCGGGACAATTATCGGGCATTTGTTCAAAACAATTGTCATTATCATCTACTTTGACAAAGTAATAAGTCACGGGTTCGGTGTCCGACATTGTCTTAAACTGTTGATCAGGCAATTGGATGCGTTGAACACGCGATTTGCCTCCGATATTGCCGACAGAGCGACAGCCGCGCGCCGATACCGACTCAGATCCGTTCCCAAAGTTGTCGACCACTTCGTCGATCAACACAAGCGTATTGTAGGGTCGGCTGAATGCGATCATCACATCCGTGTCGCTGACGAAGAGCGCCTCAATGGGTCCCAAATGACTATTGTTGAGCTTTGGTAGATCGAGACCACTGCAGATCAGTCGACCCAATTGAATGACGGGTATGTCGTGTACGTCGGCCACAATCGGGTACTTCTCTCTAATAGCGGTCAATTCTTCGTGAATTACTTTGTATACAGCCATCGATGGTTCGAGTAGTGATCGGTTCCAGTCTTGAGCTATGATGAACGCATCCCTGTCCTCATAGGGCGTGTCGATAGAGCTGATAGGGTTGGCCATTGATTGGTGACCGATGCCAATGATTAGCACAATGATTGCTAGCATTTTATATTTGCTGTGATAATTGGTTTGTGTTTTAATATTGTTTTTATAAATGTGTTTATTTATACCGTAATTATTTTATTTTCTAGATTCTGAGGCTTTATATACATTATAATTCTAATAAAATTACAAAACGCTTGTGTAATTAATTTGTAAATTATTTGTATAAGAATACAATGATATCGATTAGTCATTTCTCTGTTGGGGATTAAACACAATACAATCGCCAGCAATAATTTCATGTAGATTAAGATTAAGTTTAAATTGTGATCACCAGCATAGTGTAACACATGCACCTAGCATTTAAACTTAAGCCTTATATTGTGTGGTGAGACTTAAAACATATGCTAAATTCTGTCCGGGGATATAACTCATCGGGGGTAATTTGCTTATTATTTATTATATTGGAGTTAATTATTTACAACAACCAATATGTTATAAATTATAATGAATCATTTACTTCGTGGTTGTTTTTAGAACTAATTAATCATTTAATAAATTATTTATTAAAATCTATGCCAATTTGAAATAATTGGAACACTATAATATTATAAATCTTAAAAATTAATTTTTAAATTTTTTACAGCAATTTGATTTATTTAAAAATTACTTATTAAATAATTAGTCTAATTGTTGAGTGTTATTGGGGTTCAATTGGCATACATTGGATCCATAATTGATGGCAGTGCACATGCGGACAGCGCCGGTGTCCCGGTATATGTCCAACAATTTATGCCATTCCCATATTACATTCACTCTATTAAAAATAAAATATAATTTTTATGTAGTTATTTAATTTAGTTAATGTTTGAAATTTTAATCGTATAATTGCATTCACCTAGATTGCTTTAAAAGTTTTGCATACCTGAGCCCCGTTTTTGAAGCAATCAAAATAAGCCCAATTTTGGCAACACATTCGCACCATTGGTCTGCCCTCAGCTCTCTTTTGGGGCCAATTGTGCGCCCAATCGGTCATACATTGTCTGACCGATTGTCGGCGAGTCTCCAAACATTGGGCCATTCCTTCCAGTTCTCCGTTTGTCATATTTGTAATCGTATTGTTCAGGGAATCCGATAATACTGTGGTCTGTATTACCACAAGTGCATAACAAATAACAAACACGTGTAATTTAAGCATGTTAATTATTTAGGGTTGATAATTGTTTGGGTTCTAGTATTGTAAGTTGTATCTGAAAATTAGTTTCAATTGTAATTACTTTTATATATTGTTTTCCAATAATATTGCATCATGTATGCATTTTACTGCAGTACTGTACACATACAGCACGACTCCAATACTTGTTAGTGATTGGTTGTATAACATTCCCATTGGAATGTTACACAACTCCCACTCATAGTTAGGCT